GCAAGGAGAAGAGCCTCTTAATGAGAAACAGGGATGAAGGTGAAGATAGTGAGAGAAGACATTTGAGTAATGTGAGAAGATGAAGGGGAAAGGTGGGAGGTCAAGACTAATGGGCTCAATTTTTTCAGTGAAGTATGAGTCTAAGTCCTAAGGGAAGAGGAATGGAGGGAGATGCCATGCAAAGTCTGAGGAGGGAAGAGAAGTTTTAGAATAGCCAGGTTGACTGGGAAAACAAGTCTTTTAGGGAGATGTGAAAGACTTGCCTTGCTGTAGTAATGGCCCAGTTAAATTATGTAACATAAATTTGTAATGGAAGCTGTGATTTTCTCCAGCCCCATTCAGTAGCACATAAATGAAGGGGGCAAATTGTGGGAGTAATTCATAGTTGGGGTTTGGCAAAGCATGATCAGTGATAAGGCAAGGGGGCAAATGATTAAAATGTAGTATGGATAATGTAGATTTGAATTGATTCACTGAAGCATCAAGATAGGGAAGGAAGGAGAGTGCAGCCAGTACAGGGGTGATCTGGGGAAAAAGTTGAGGGTGAAGTCATTGAAGGTTATGATGAAGACAAGATTAGGGGTGGTAAGGCACAAGAAAAGATGGAATCATAGGAAGTTATGATCAGATAAATGAATTTCAGAGTTCATGAACATGGAAGGGGCAAGATTGAAAGTATGATCATCGCTGTGTGTACCTAAGGTATTGTGTAGGAGTAGGTCATGGGAATTGAATAGGTCAAGGAATGGGAACTCAGGGCATTTGAGGGATATCATTATGTTGAAGTCTCAATATGGGGGCAAGAGATGGGGAGGAGAGTCAGACACTGAATTCATTGAGGAAGTAAAGAATGTCCTGGGGTCATTAGATAATCACCAGGATCTGGATTGGGTGATAAATTTGAATGGTGTGAACCCCAAAGGAGGAGGGGTGATGATGGTAGAGAAAGTATCTGGATTTGGCAATGGAGAGCAAGGACCAGTTAAGGGGTATGAGCAGAAGTGCAGCCAGTACTGGAAAGTATTTTCTATGAAAAAAGGAGTGATAATGGAAAAAAATTTAAGACAAAAGCAAGTTTGCAATTTTTTAACAGGTATTCCAGAAAGTATAGTAGAAGGGATTGATAGATCTGGAATGGAACGTTGGGGGCCGGGGGTAGGGTTGTAGGAGTGAGAGAGTAGGCAATTGGGGATGGGAAAATGGGGTTTGTACTTCTGTACCTGGGTGTTTAGAATTACTGGAATGGAGATATTATAAGTGGGTGGGAGTGTGCTGATAAATGAGGAATGAGTCTAGTAAGAGTATCAGTGGTTGGGAGAGGTCTATTGAGGGAGGCAGGTGATTAGATTATTCAATCTCCTCCCCTGAGGTCTATCCTTATAGTAGGTGGTGATGTTATGTCCAAGTAGGCCCATCTTACAGTAGGTAGAAACTGTCAGTTCAAGGTGGATCAGGTCAGGAAAGACCTCTGGAGACCAGGAGAAGTTGCTGGAACAAGGAGGGCCTAGGGGAATGACCTAGGTCCAGGCTGATGAATTGAAAGCTTCCCTGAGAAGTCTCTGGAGAGGGACTGGGAAGTGAGTGTCCTAGATTGGGGTTGAAGTAGGGCTTCTTGGGGAAACCCTAGGGTGAAAACAGAGGGCAAGACTTGGGTGACCTGGATCCAGGTCCAAAGTAGGGCTTCCTGGGAGGTCTGTAGAAAGAAGATGAGTGGTTATTTCAAGGTTAACACAGGACTCCTTGGGAGAAGACTGAGGGCAGGAGGTGAGTGGCCTGGATACTCTGACTGAAGCAGAGCTCTCTGGGAAATCTCTGAAGCTGGACAGGTAGATAGATTTGGGCTGGTTAAGGCATATATTCAGTATGTATGTGTATCCATCTTCTCCATTAGAATGTAAGTTCCTTGAGGGCAGGCACTATTTCACTTTTGCTTTGTGTCCAGGGCTCAGCACAGTGCCTGGTGTTTAACACGTGTCTATTGATTAGTTCTGCTTACTTAACTGTGGGACATATGGTATCAGTTGAAACAAGTCTCCCATGTTTCTCTGAATCCCTCATACACTTGGTGATGTTTTTTTGGTACCACTCTAATTCATTCCTTGTTTCTCTAGAATGAATAACTTTAAGCAGTGGTCCAGCATGCAGCAGACTTGGATCGAGCTGTGTTAGTGAGGATTGGCCTTTATTTTGGTCTTCATAGTTCACACACAAGTAGCTCATTTGGGGCCATGTGGAGTTAATTCTTGTACCTCTGAGTGCTTTCTTTGTCCATATCTTCTTTTTCTACCTCTCGATTAACTAGACCAGTTCTGAATAGCTGTTTAGAGACCTGATCCTGCTGGTGGTGCAGTTCTAGGTGTAACAGCCATTGCTCCTATAAGTACATATGAGATAGGATGAAGGAGAGAATGGGATAGCAGAAAAGAGAAAATTAGGGAAATGGGAAGAACTAGCAATCTTTCTAATCCTTTAGGCCTCTTGCCTAAAGGTTTATTCACCTTCTTAATGAGCACCTGAGATTTCTGTCTAGTGCCAGGTGAATTTGAATCTTTTAGGGCAAAGTGCTTGGAAAGAATAAGCGTATAGAGCCAAATCCTCCATGCTGTATATGTATTAAGTTTCCACATTCACGTTGGTAAATTTCCTTCTGCCAGAGAGCTCCTGCTGGGAGCCAATTAGACCAGGAACTCCTTGAGAGAAGAAAGCATGTTTCTCCTAATAGACAGAACTTTGTCAAAGAAAGGACTCCTCCTTTCTCCACTGTATCAATCTGTGGTGCTGAGACTGAGGGGTGTTTTCCATGCTAACATCTTCCAAAAGGAGACACCCAGCCCTTCTCTTCTCCCCAGCCCTATTTCATGGTCAGGAAAGTTCATTCTGCTGTCAAAATCGTCATGTCCCAGCTGTACTTTTCCTGTGCTTTGTTCCTCTTACTCAAATGTTAAAAGTTAAATCTGAGATGAAAGTCTGAAGACCTGAGGGGATTGGGAGGAAGGAAGAAGGGGTCTATAATCCTCTTCTATTGGCAGTTTTAAATCTACATGCCAATTACTAAGCAAAGCATTAGATTCACTCTCACTTCCCCTTTCCTAGCTCTCCCTGACAAAGTCAAAGTGGTGGTGGGGCACCATTTCTAATCTGTTTTTTCTCTTCAAGCACTGAGGGGAATCTGGGAAGAGAGAAACAGAAAGATAGGCATACACAGAAAGGCAGAGATTGAGATGATACCTTCTCTCCACCTCATATTTCATAGTCCTTGGGTAGAGAATATTTGTCCATATGTAACCGGGTTCCCAATTCCTTCGACTTTGGATCATTTCCTCTTTAGTCAGATAATAATAGCTAACATTTGTGTAGCACTTACTATGTCCCAAGCACCTCCTTAAGCGCTTTACTATGGTCTTATTTGATCTTTACAACAACCTCATGAGATGGATGCTATTATTTTTCTCATTTTATGGATGAGGAAACTGGGGCAAACAGTTTAAGTGACTTGCTCAGGGTCACACAGCTGGCTAGATTTGAACTTCAAGTCTTCCTGACTCCAGGTCCAGCACTCTATGGTGCCACCTAGCTGCTAGATAATAGTGAGTTGGGATCTAAGGGTGGACATTCCTTCCGCCTCTACTTTGTCCTCTTTCCACTTTAATCCCTCTGTTTTGTTCTTCCCCGCTCCCACGCTGTTCTCCATTCATTGGAGCAGCAGGGGAATTCTTTGCATGTGCTGGTCCAGTTTTGTGTTCTCTTGCTCAGCAAGATGTGCAAGGCAGCTCGGTGGACAGCATGTGGAGTCATTCAGACCCATTTGAATACTCCCTCAGACACTAGTTGTGTGACTCTGAGCAAGTCATTTAACCTTTGTCAGCCTCAGTTTCCTCATCTATAAAATGGGGAAAATAGTAACAACCTCATCAGGTTGTTATGAGGATCAAATGAGATAATTATGTAAAATGCCTTGTAAACCATGAAACATTATAACAAATGTGAGCTATTATTATTATTATTATTTTGTTGTCCAGAAGGGGAGGCAAGAATGAGACAGGGGCTTCTGAGAGTGTTTCCGAAAGTATCATGTGGTTTCTGAGAAGTCCCTGACTTGATGGATGACTAAGGTGAGAGGGGTGAGGTGGGGATAAAGAAATGGAAGTGCCTGAGGTAGGAGATGCCCAGAGATCACCCTCACATACGGATTAAGTTCCCGTTGCTGTTTGTTTTCCTTTAAGCTCACTTCTGTCTGTGAATAATAAGTCCTACCCTGGATCCCTCCTAAGCTGGCTTGGGGAGTTACAGTCGCTGAGCTTGGGAAATGAATAGGGTGAGAATGCAGACACATCTGGACAGCAGCGTACAGTCTCACCAAGTTCCTACCTATGTCCTCCTGTTGGAGATGCCATCTGTCTTCCCCATTTACTCTCTCAGGTCCCTTGTCCTCTTTCATCTCTGCCCCCCCCCCAACTCAAAGATTCAATCTTCAAAGAAACATGGATGATTTCTACAGGGTAGGGAGTGGAGGGTGGGTGTCTCTGGCTCCATCTCATTTCCTGAGCGCAGCAGAGCTGCGAGCTGTTCTAATTGACCTCCAGGGTCTCAGCTGCGCTAAGTTGGGTGATGGGTGGATATAGTTAGGCCTGTAATTAGTGCAGGGGAATCTAGGTCAGAGCAGTTGGAGTGTTGATCAAGGGGGTGTGGGTGGGGTTAGTGATGGACAACAAATAGGTTCCCCAAGGGGTGGGTGGGGGGGAGGGAGGTTGCTGAACTGGAGAAATAGATGTGGTGAGACACATAGGCACATATGGACTTAAGAATATGGCCACAAGGACAGACACACAATTGTGTGTGTGTGTGTGTGTGTGTGTGTGTGTGTGTGAGTGTGTGCGTGCGCGCGCGCGTGTGTGTGTGTGTTCCCGCATTCATTTGGGTTTCTTTCCAACTTTTCCATATATGGTGCTGCTCTAGAGCAGGCTGGGGATTGGCTGCTGTAGTTGAGAGACCGGGAGGTAGGAAGACAGCAGAAAAACAGAAAAGGAGCAAATCCAAGGCACCGAGGTAGCGACGTTCCCCATGCCAGGCGCTGCAGCCGGGCAGTCTGCGGCTCGCAGAACTAGGCAGTGTCAGCTTCCTTGGGAGGTTTGGAGTTGGTTTTCGGGAGTGAAGAAGGGAGAAAGGACTGAGGGATCCTGCTGTTTTCTAGCTTCTTGGACCTCGGTGGAGTCCCAGCTTCCGTCTGAATTGGGAGAACGGGAGAAAGCCTTGAGGGGCAGGGGGAATGATGGGGGCAGAGTAGAGGGAGCAGAGCAATTCGGGAGATTGCTGATACCCTCAAAGCACATACAAAGGAGACAAAACAAGCTGCACTCGAGTTCTTCCACTTCATGAGACAATAGCTCTTCCACTCCTCTTTTTCCTAAGACAGACCAGAAACACCCCCTAGCCTTCTGCTCGAGTCTCTTATTCCATAGCCCACTTTGCAAGCTAGGAGAGTAGATGTAGAGGCAGACGCTAGCAGTGACTGGATGGTGAAGCCCAGCGGAGGGAGATCCTCCTCTTTCTACTGCTTCCCCCAAATATTGGCAGCTAGTTCCTTGTCTTAGACTGCTCACTTTCCCCTATCCGGAGAATCTTGAAAGTTATCCTCCCATATCCCAGAATATTTTTGTGCGAAGATAAGACAGTAAATTTGTCATTGGCAAAACGGGAGTGGAGGTAGGGAAGCGGTGTGTGTGTGGTTAAACATTTTCTGGAAAATGGCTGATAGCTCATAGACTCAAAATTTTAGAGCTGGAAGACCCCTTAGAGATTGACTCCCCTCCCCCCAAACCCTCTTTTTTTTTTTAAACAGATGAACAAAGTCAGAAGAAGTTTAAGAGATTTTCCCAGGACGACTAGCTGGTGGTAGAACTTGGACTCAGATCTCCTGTCTCCCCATTTAGCAAGTGAGTTCAGCATCTGATAGTCTCTCCAGCCTCTCTCACCTACTTGCTCCTCTCTTCCCTCTCCCATCAACGCTGACTGGACAGGTTCCTATATAATCCACACAGCCACAAAAGATGAAGAATAATGGGGGACAGAGGGTGCTGTCTGAGAGAAAGGGATGAAATACTCTAGGGGCAGCTGGATAACAGTGGATAGAGGGCTGGGCCTGGAGTCAGGAAGACCTGAGTTCAAATAACTGTGACCCTGGGCAAGTCACTTAACCCTGTTTGCTTCAGTTTCCTCATCTGTAAAACGAGCTGGAGAAGGAAATAGCAAACCACTCCAGTATCTTTGCCAAGAAAACCTCAAATGGGATCACGAAGAGTCAGACAACTGAAATGACTAAACAACAATAATACCCCAGGGGTGGTGGGAATGGGAATGATGTAGTCCCACTGCAGCGCAGGGGGAAAGAGGCTAGAACAGGGATGAGGAACCTGTGGGACAAATCCTCAGGATCTGTTCTGTGGAGTTTGGATTCAGTCAAAGGGTCCAACTTGAGGACGTAGGGGGCCGCATGTGACCTGGAGGCCGCAGGTTTCCCCATCTCTGGGCTAGAAGAATAAAGCATTCTCAGGCTTCATTTATTAAGCAGAACTGCCTGAGTTGCTGATCTAAAAACAGGTCTATAAAGGAAGATGATACCACTGACCTGCAGTCAGCAAGGCATGAACTTTGAACTTCTTTTCTAGTAATGATGACAGACTTGTACTAATCCATCCACACAATCATAACTGTAAAATGGTCAACAAAGATTGAAAGGGCAGACACTCAAGCCTTGAAACAGAACGGAACAATTTAGGTTAAGCCAGGATTGAGTTTGTGAACTTGACCTCATTAGCACCATATGGTAACCAACTGAGCTAACAGGTCTATGGATAACAGGAGTATGGATTGAAAAGATGAATTGTCCAGTTTCAGCATTTTGCTAGGGAACTGGAGACTCACTTCTGGGCACCTGATTAATGTGTGAATTAAAAAGCATTTATTAAGTGCTTACTATGTGCAAAGCACTGGGGATACAAATTGAAAATGAAGATAATTCTGTGCTCCCAAGGATCTCAGTTCTATTGGGAGAGACAACATCAACAGAAGGTTCTAGCTGTAAATCAGATGGAAAGGTCCCTGGTCTTTAGCATATCCCTTAGAGCTTATTCTTATTGGGGAGCCTACTTTGACTTTTCTCCTTTTCTCCCTTTGGCTCCCCTCTCTTTAGTGTCTCCCCCATCTCTCCAGGCCCCCGGCAACCAAGACTAAGTGGCATGTTTTAGGAATACATGTCATTCCTGCTCTTTGTCTCTCCTCTTGTTACGTGGGAGTGACTAGGGAAAAAAAAGGAGAAAAGGGGAAAACAGTGGTAAAATAAAATGAAAATAAAATAAGATGGAAGATTTAGAAATAGAAAGAAAGTGTAGATTGAATTCAGACTGGGTGGCCACAAAACGGTTGCTTCTGTTTGCTGGGCCAGGGGATTTTGGAGGCCTTCTACCTTTAGCACCCCACAATTGTATTTTCCTCTTCCGGTAACCCCCAAAAGATTTCTGTCATGGGCTGTGGGGAAACCAATCTTGACATTGAAGGCCCAAAGCAGCATACTCTGCTCCCTTCCAGAGAAGGTCCTTGCTAAAGGTCCTGAGAAGGAATTTCCTGACTATGAAGAAGTGGAGAGATGAAAGATTTGGTGGAGGTGGAAGGGTTATCTTTCTGAGTGGGTTGGCAGGGGGAGGTGACATCAGGAGGAGAAATGGAATGATCTTAGGTGCCAGCCTTGGGTTTGTGAGGTGGTAAAGGTTTATGTTCCTCTGAAGTACTACTTTCCTTTATCCCTCTTGCTTCATTTCCAGATAAATTAGGGAGTCAGAGGGAGAATGTTGAAAGGGAAATGGATCTTTCTCTTTGATTTGTCTCATTGGTCATGTCCCCTCAGATACTTCCATTTTCCCACACACAAACGTTCCTGTCCCCTTTGCAGCCCTAAGTCCTAGATTGAAGGGTTGAAAGATACCCTGGGGAATAGAACCAAGAGGCTAATAATGCAGGGATCTTTCTCTCTCTTTCTTTCTCTTTTTCTTTCTTCTCTGTCTCTCTTCCTTCCAGAAAGGGCCAGTTTTAAGCCTTGTCTCTATCTCTTTCTTTCTTGAAATCACTGACACTTCTTTTCTCTTCCCTCCCCTCATCATTGTTGCAAATGGTAGAGGACAAGAAGCAAACAACTTGAAGTCTAAATTGTATAGGATCTCTCATGAATAAAAATGCAAGGAAGCCCTGGCACCTGTAGGTGGACCAAAGAGGTTTGAGTCAAGTGGGGTGTGTGTGTGTGTGTGTGTGTGTGTGTGTGTGTATGCATGTATGCATATGCATGTGCATACAAGCACCCATGCACTCCTGCCCGGGTGTGTGCTCCTTCCCTGGTGTGAGTTCCTTCCCGGGTAGAAACTCCCTTTCAGAGACAGGGACAAGCAGTCTTGGGGGCAGACAGAGTAGGGGTAAGGACCCAGAAAACTCTGGCTTGGTTAAAAGAGGAACATGAACATGTGTTTGGTTTTTCCCCTCTTTCTTACCCAGCATCCTCCACAACCAAGTTTCATTCTTAGATCAGTTCTCCCTTGGGGTCAGCTCTCCCTCATTCCCCTGCTAAAGAAGCCCCACCCTCTGGAGGAGCAAAGAGAATGTAACCTCTTTGTGGTTACACCATAAGCATCATGTCCTTAAACTCATTTTGGGGTGGAGGGAGAAGTAAATACCAAAATAAGAAATAAAAGAGAAAAAGAGGGAGCTCAAATCGCAATGAGGGGCTGTTAGAAAGATCCTATCCGATTGCTGTTTGGATTCTACAGATTATCCTTCTTTCCCCACTCTGAGCCCCCTTCTCTTTATTGATAACCAAAGGTTGAAACAGATGGAAGTAGAACCCGCCTCCCCAGGGTCTGGACTTTCTGGCTAAAATGTCACCCTTAGTGGCCACCCTGGGTAAGGGCATAAAATGATTATTCCCTCTGCCCCCATCAGACTAGGATTTGAACCATAAACACATAGCCTCTGTGTTAGGGTAGGCTGGGTCTCAGGGACTCCTCCCCAAGCCTCTAGCAGTGGAGTCAGATAGGCTCCAACATCTCTTCTCTCCTCTTTGGGTCCAGATCTTTACCATTCAGTAGAGAATACCTCTCCCTCAAATCTGGCTCCAGAGGGACAGGGGGAGGGATCAAGGGAGGATTAGGCACCAGCAGGAGCCATGAGTTTGGTTTTTTTTTTTGATTGTGGTAAATTAAAAAACAAAATAAAACAAAACAAGCCCTATCCCAGTGTCTGCCCATCCCTCCCCCCAACGTGTCCTAGAGCCCTCTTTCCCGCCCCTCACATCAGGCTTTTCCGGTACTGGCTGTGCTGAGGAGTATGTCTGAGTTGGGAGTCTGGGGTCTGAAGGTCCATCTGTCTGTACAGGTCCCTCAGCTCCCTCACCTCCTGCAGTACTCTCTTTGCCTGGCTCCAATTGGATGATGCCTCCCCGAGCAGTCGCTCTGTCTCCAGCAGCAGCTGTTCTGACTCAGAGTCAGGGGGAGAACGTGGAGGGTCCTTGGCCTTTCGTTTCCCATCCCCCAGCCCCTGCACCTCCGCCAGCAGCTCCTGAGTCTTCTCCAGTTTCCTGGCTACCAGGTCCTGGATCCGAGACAGCTGTCCAGGGTGAGGTGGGGTTGGGGTGGAGTGATCCTCGGGCTGTGGCAGGCCGTGGGCTGGGGCAGCATCCCGCTGAGACAAGATTTCTTCCAAAGAAGCACATCGTCCTTTCTCCGAGGGCGTCTGCTTCTTGGGAGCCTGGGGAGTATAGGGGGCCCCCTTGTCTGGCTTCTCCCAGGGCCGAGGAAAGCTACGGCCCCTGTCCAAGGCGGGGTGGATTCTGTCTGACTCCGCCCGTCGCCGGCCTTCTGCCAGCTGGGCCATTGACTTGTCCAGGTCAACTCGGAAGCTCTCAGCACAAGAAGTGGGTTCCTCAGGGGAGGGGTCCTCCTCTTGAATCAGGTCCAAGGTCAACATTCCATCAGAGGTAGAGGTTGAGGCCTGCATCAGGAAGTACAATGACCATGGTCGTGAATAGAGATATTGGGAAGGACTACCCAGGCAAACATTCCTCCTCTCTGGCTGATGCCTTCTCCAACTCAATTCCATGTAATAAGTATTTATTAGACGCCTACTTCGTGCTAGAGAATTGAAGACAGGGAGGAAGCAGTGTCTGCCTTCAAGGCTCTTTTCTAACTGTCTGATGATAATTTACACTTGATTACTTGAATCGATGTAAGGATTTTTCATATGGGGGGAGGCCTGGGTCACTTCTCTTTGCCCCAAGCACCCGATGTAAGGTTCCATACAGAGAAGATATTCTGTATCTCCTCATCCACAACCCTCTGGGTGGGTGGGGGTGGAAGGGCAGTGGTTACTGAGGCACCTATTGGTATAGTGGACACAGTGATGGGCCTGGAGTTACAATCTGACCTTAGACTCTACTAGCTAGGTAACCTGGTGCAAATCACATAACTTCTATCTACCTCAGTTTCCTCAATTGTAAAATGGAGACGATAATAGCACCTACCTCAAAGGGCTGTTGGGAGAATCAAATGAGGTCATATTTGTAAAAGGGGCTTTGCACTTTAGTTTGGTACACAATAGATGCTATATAAATGCTTATTCCCTTCCTCCTTCTAGCTACATGATTCAGCTCCCTCTACTCTCCTGATCTCCCCAACCTCATACTGAGACCTTAAAAAACACCCCAAAACAAAACAATATTCGGAATACTAAACACATGGACAAATCTGTAGCAGGTTAGCAAACTTACGAAAATATGTTAATCGAGACTGACATTTATATAGTGCTTCATATATACACTGTCTCATTTGAGCCTAACAACAGCCCAGTGATAAGCCACCTGGTTGACATTTTCTCATATATTATCTCATGATATCTCTTGTAGTGTTTTGGTTTTTTAAAAATTCTTGTAGTGTTACTTACATTTTCTTATTTTTCCTCTCTCCTTGACTCAAGGGTCTTCTGTCTCTAATCCTTCTTCCACAGAAATAACAAAGTGATATTCCTAAAGTACTAGACCAGGGATGGGGAATCTTTGGCCTCGAGGCCTTAATAAAAGGATTTGTTCTGTGAAGTTTGGATTCACTTAAAGGGTTGCACTTGAGGACCTAGAAGGCCGCAAGCTCCCCACCCCTGTACTGGACTGACCATATCACATTTCCTCCGCTAGGATCGTATTTAAATTTTTCTGGCATTCAAAGCCCTTCCTAATCTGTCTCCAATCTACTTTTCTAGGTTTTTATTCATTTTTTCCCTACATACACTCTTAAGTCTAAACTGGCTTTCTGCCATTTCTCTCTCTCTCTCTCTCTTTTTTTCTTTTTAGTGAGGCAATTGGGGTCAAGTGACTTGCCCAGAGTCACAGGGCTAGTGAGTGTTATGTGTCTGAAGTCGGATTTGAACTCAGGCCCTCCTGACTCCAGGATTGGTGCTCTACCCACTGCTTCACCTAGCTGCCCCTGCTATTTCTCATATACAGTATTTCATCTGCCATCTCCAGGCATAGACACTGTCTGTCCTCCATATCTGGAATGTGCTTCTTCTTTACCAAATTCTGCCTCTTAGAATCAATCCCTGCTTTTCTTCAAAACTCAGCTCAGACATTGCCTTTTACATTCTGATTCCAAACCCTGCTGCCCCTAGTTACTGGTGTCTACCCCCACAGATTTCCTTTATTTTATTTATACTTACATGTGACGAGGCTTTCTCCCCTAATAAAATGTTTCTTGAATTCCAGGACTTTTATTTTTGTCTTTGTGTTTCCAGCACTTAGCAGGGGTTTAATAAATGCTTGATGATTGATTGACCTTTCAATTAGACAGTGTTCCTTGAGGGTAAGGACTTGATGTATTATGTATTAAAATTTTTTTGTGTGTCCTACAACCTAACACTTTCTAGGCAGGTGGTATACATTAAATATTTAAATATTTATTGAATTAAGGGTTTGGTAGTGATCCATAAAGCATAATGGGAAACTAGGATGTTTTACAATGTACACAACCTTTAGAGACTAATGGCAAGCAGGATTATCACACCCATCTACAAAGATGTACCCTGGTGCCATTTTACAAGATAAAATCTTGACCTGGATGGAAGAGGAATCTCAGCTAGTATGGAAATTCTGATATTCTTACGTACCACAGCCATTAGGTGTCCTCGGGTGGGGGGACGTCGAGAGTGCTGGATTTTTGCTCTGTCACGGGTGGGATGGGCAAGGTAGCTGTCCTCTTCAACAGTGACCTGGGGATGAGAAGACTTGTGTTCCCTACAGCCTCCCTCCTTCTGTCTCAACTTCCCTGAAAACACCTATACTGGGGAACAGATCCTGTGACCTGTCCCACAATACATTCCTTGGATTTCAGGATACCCTAGTTTTGAAAGAATCTCTAATCTGTTCCCTAAACTCTGGCCCTCACATCCTAAAGTTTGAATAGAAGACCTGGGCAAGAGAGAGCTAGGAAGGGGATAGGAGGAGGTAAGCATGAGTTTGAGAGAGAGAGGGAGTTGGAGGGGAGCAGGTCGATGGGGTCAGTTAATTTGGTTTTCCTCTTGGTGCTAGCTAGACCTGCCCATCTCCACACTGATCCCAACCTCACCAACCTCATCCAGGATTCGATTCTTGGCTCGGGTGATGGCAGAACTGAGGGCGTTAATCCAAGACTCCTTCTCCTCTGGACTCACTGCCAGGAAGATCAGGTTGGGTGCCTGGTTGGGGGTGGGGGTGAAGATTTTGGTTATAACCTGGGGATTACAGTTAATGCCCCTATCCCTGAGGGTGCCTTGGAGACTTAGTAGTGAAAACACTAAGATGTCTTATCTGTTTTGGTCCCACCTTTTCCAGGAGGGAGATTCTATTTCTGTTGTCTTCCCTTCTCTTTCCCCTCCCCACAAACCCACACCACCTCTTTAGGGATGCCACTATGCCCCGCTACCAAACTGTACAACTGGGCACTCTGTCTTGGAAGTGATTATGAATTGAAAGGGGAAACATAGAGTCTCGGGCTTTGCTGTGCTGGCCCCTAAGCTCAAATGAAGTATGGATGTGAAGGAGAGAATATTGAGAGGGACACAGGTGATTATGGGGCTGGAGAAGGGAAGGCTGGTGGTTGGGGGCAGTGAAGGACAGGGAAAAAAAAGTCTTTACATGTATGAAGGAACATTTTCCAGGAAATGGGAGTGGCTGCTGTGTGTTCACTTAGACAAGAGGAAATAGGTTTAGGCTACAACTTGCCTCTTAGGGATAATATAAGTATTCACTCCCAAGAGAAGTAAAAGGGCTTTCTTCTCTGGGCACATTTAAGAAAATAGGATGGGTATCAGTGGGCAGAAGAGAAGAGCCTGAGGGACTGGGGAAGATTGAGGGATGAATACTCCAAGAAAAGGTCAAAGTTGATGGGGGAGCCTGGGGACTGTAGACTTGGGAGGTAAGAGAACTCACTGAGAGAAACAGTGAGCCATGTGCATGGGAGAGATCTTCTCCACAGCGCTGTGTACAATAAGCGTCCAGGGGGCCAAGGCGGTAGGGACGACATACCATGTTCCCAGGCTGTTTGGAGTGTGCCAGGGTAAACTTGCTGTGATTCTTCTTGCTCCGGCTCTTGGATTTCCGAAGCTCCTCGCATTTCTCATAGTCGCTCAGGTCAAATACTTCCTGGACATTTTTCTCATCTTTTATCTAAGGGGCGGGGGCGGGGTGAATTGGTGTGGGGGGAGATAAGAATTATTCGGCCCTTTCCCCCATTAACTCATTGGTTCAAACCAGCCCAGGGAGAGAAAAAAACCAAACCAAACCAAGAAAGTCTGGGGTGGTTGCATGTCAGGAGGCTCTGAGAAGGTACCACAGAGAGGGGAGGAATTGGGAGGGCTCATTTGTTAACTCCTAGCTGGAGGATTTGTTCATAAATACCCTATTCCCCTATTCTTTTCCACCAGAACAGACACCCCATTTTCTCAATCCCACTCTTCCCCTCTTCTCCCTTATCCTTTGGAGGACATAATTTAAGTGACTCAGCTCATCCCCTTAGTCTGGAGAAGGCAGGGACAACCTCTGGAATCTCTAGAGGCTCCCAAATCAAACTCTCTTCATCTTTCTCTCCAGGTTCATTTTTAAAACGTTCTCTTAGCATCCTCTCATATCCTTTCCCAGAGTGTCCCCTACTGTTTTCTGAACAGTAACCTTGAACTGGTTCTTGGGTTTGTTTGGGTCTGATTAGGTCAGAGGTAAGCAGAAATCATCTCAATGAATTTTCCAAATGAATTGGTCCATGGTCTTAGACTGAAGGAGGTAAGAGAGGTTAAGGGCAGGGAGGATCCGCGTGTAGCCTCCCACTATAGTGACGTTTACTGTGGGTGCCCCTCGCTCTGCCCCTTCTCAGCCCCCACCTTTACTATACCTTTTTATAAAAAGATTCATCTGCCTCTTGTATTTCAGGAGCCAGATTGCTATAGCAACGGAGACTCACTCCCTATGCGGTAAAGTTTGTTCAGTACCGCTAAAAACTACGAATGCTTCCCCCTCTTCTCAAACTCAGGCCCCCTTAAAGTCCTGTGTCAATTCAACCTAGACTCATTGAGTCTATAAAATCATCTAATAACAACAACAGCTAACATGAATACAACACTTTACAGCCCACAAAGTGTTTTCCTAAAATTATATGTATGTATATGTAGAGAGATAGAAGATGAAGGGGTCATATCTGGAGAATAAAATTAAGGGATGAGAGAGGATTATATTTGGAGAAGAAGAAAGGGAGTTAATGGGGGAAAGGGCCGAATAAAGTAGAATGGGGTAAATTATCTCACAAATAAAAAAACAGAAAAGAAAGTCTCTTACAGTGGAGTGGAAACAGGGGAAGGTGAGAGGGAATGAGGGAATCTTATTCTCATAGGATTTGGCTTAACATACACATTCAATTGGGTATGGAAATCTGTCTTACCCTACAGAAAAATAGGGGGAGAAGGGGACAAGAGAGCAGGGGGATGATAGAGGGGAGGGCAGATTGGGAAAGGGGGTAATCAGAAGTAAATACTTCTGAGGAGGGACAGGGTCAAAAGAAAGAATAGAATAAATGGGAGGGCAGGATAGGATTAAGGGAAATAGAGTTAGTTTTTCACAACATGTCTACTCACATGCTACTGGGAAATAAGAAATACAGGAAATGGGGTACAGAAGTCTATCTTGCCCTACAGGAAAATAGAAGGGGAAGGGGATAAGAGAAGGGAAGAGAGATAGAAGAGAGGACAGACTAGGGGAAGGGATATTCAGAATGCATGCCATCTTGGGGTGGGGGGAGGGGGGAGATGGGGTGAAAATTTGGAACTCAAAAACTTGTGGAAGTGAATGTTGAAAACTAAAAATAAATAAATTTATATTAAAAAACAACAACAACAAAGTGTTTTCCTTACAACACCACCACGAGGTAAAGTATTGCAAGCACTGTTAGCCCCATGTTACAGACAAGAAGTCTGAGCTCTTTAGAGGTTGGATGACTTGCTAAATCAAGGTCATAGACTAGGAAGTGGTAAATCCCAGGCCTTCTGGAGTAAGCTCAATGCTTCTTGCAATGAACTGCTATTCCTACTCTTCTCATGCTACTTCTGCCTGTACCGGCACAGTACCTAGGTACTTCTAGGTACTTCTAGAGACACAAGAGTCTTCTAAAGAAAATACTCCACAATCTCCTTGCACCACTGCATTTTGAGAATCGAAGGTTCCTTACTGTTAAGAAATATCCCTTGTATCTAAATCTTAATCTTTCCTGTTGTAGTCTCCTAAGAATCTACCCTTATTTCCATGGCCTTCTCTGATCGCAACAAATCAAACTTCCTTAACCTTTCTTTCCAGGTTCATTATTAAAACTTTCTCTTAGGATCCTCTCCTATCCTTTCCCAGAGCGTCCTCCTTTGTCTTCTGAAGCTGGGGGACCTAGAACTAGCTCTTGGGTTCATTTGGGTTCATTAGAGGTCAGAGGAGGCACTCTTAATCAATTCCCCAAATGAATTAGCCCACAATCACTGTGCCTGTGCTTAAGGGCGTTAGAAGCAGTTGGAGGTCCATAATGGGTATATAGTTGGGGAAAAGGTGGCATCTGTTACTGTTTCTCCACTAGTTGGGAGGCCTGGTGTGAGGGGTGCCTTTGAGGAAAAGCAGGCCATGGTTTCTGAAAGAGAAATAGCTGGGATGAAAGAAACACAAACCAATCTCCACATGTGTCTCCTAGTGCTGGCCTCGTTACAGATAAACACACAACTACATGTAGCTACATGTCTCCCAAGTACCCCCTGGGACACAGCCCCATGCACAGCAGAGTCCCCCCAGTCAGAGATAACAAAATGTGCACACTCGGATACAGAATTCTGAGTCACATATGTTTTAGAATTACAAGCCTGGCACTCCGGAGGCTACTTTGCCCCTCCTCCTGCTTCCAAATAAAACTCTTGGCACCATCTCATATAGATGCAGGTTTCTCTACCAGTCCCTAAGCCCTTATCTCCAACTCCACTCTGCACTGTCTACGTGTCCTTTGGAACCAAGAACTGCTTTATAGTACCGAGCACTGCAACAAAAGGTTCATCCTCTCACCCTCCCGGCTACAATCTGGCTTATACATCTACTTGGATTTTTTACATGGTTGGGATCTCTCAGACCTCTTCTCTTCTTATCTCCTTAGACTTTTTGGGGAGAAGAAAGGAATCAAAAACTCCGAAGCCATATTGGTAGAGGTGTGGCCAGACCCTGGCAAGGGGCTCCTAAGTCAAGAACAATTCCCAGAAACATGGGGCAGGGACATACAATGATGTGTCACTTCTCTTTCCCCTCCTTTCCCAGAGTTAAGAATATCAACAGAGACCAGAAGTTATGGAAAGGAAGGCAATGGGTGTGTGTAAGGGAAGGGGCATAAGAGTGGGTGGTTTGTTCTTTTTTTCCCAGAGGAGGGGAGTGGGTTCACCTATAATCAGAACTGAGAATTTGGAAGAGGCTATAGGAAAAAGGGAAAATTGAGATGGATACTAGGTAAGATGGGGGAAGAAATAGACAGAAGTGATATAAGAGCGAATACTTCAAGCGATCAGGGTCAGGGAGTCTAGAACTCGGTTTCCTTCTTGAATTTTATTATTATTTTTTTCATCAAAAAAAATCTCTAAAAGCCACCTACAGAATTATTGATCTTTTGAAACTGCCCCTTCCCTTTCTTCGCCTCTATGTCCCATGCAGAAACATAGATGTCTATAAAAAAAAGACATGTCCTGACCCTCTTGCTCCAGTTATTCCAAAATCCTCCTGAGGGAGATTTATATTTCTGCAATGTCAGCACCACTTATCTTGAGGACCCTCAAATCTTTCTGGAAAATGGGACCTTAGTGCTAAGAACAACACAGGCTGTTTTGGGCTGGGCATTTGTGAGAGGTCAGATCACCCCTAAAGAAACTCTCTCTTGGTATTTCCTCCTGGGTTTGCTTGTCTGTTCTATGGTCCCTAGGGCTGAAAGGTAATTGGAGGAGAAGGACGAATATGGGAAATTTACTAGGAGTGATAGGTATAAAGACAAAGACATTCTTGCATCATCGTTTTCATCACCATGACTTGCAAATGCACTTTATATATGTTAACTGTTGATCTTGTATGAAACAACTTACAAATGAGCTAAAATACAACATACAGTGTGTCACAAAAGTCTTACTGCAGTTTTAAGTGCAGTTTCAAGTCTATTTAAAGCTACTAAAGCTTAAAACTTCACTAGGATGTCCACTCTGTAACCTTCTCTTTAAACTTACATTTATTATTCTGAGTCCTCAAGACTCAGTCCTGTCAGTGCTCAAGTACTTTGGGGAAAAGGGCTGCTTTGGCCTGAGATGGGGGCATGATCACCAGTTGGGGTGTTGGGGAGAAGTTATGAGGGAAGTGTGATAACTTTCATACCCTTCTTTATGGCCAAGATGAAATCTGGGGCCCTATTAGGGGCTCCTAAAACTTAGGCTGATTTCTACATAAAAAATGCCTCACAAAGAGGGTAAGACATTGATCTATTTGTTTCCCAGATCACCTGATGCCTTCTTCTACCCTAATCATTTCTGTTGGAGGAGCAAAGCCACACTTTGAATCCCTGCTTTTGGATAACCTCTCCCATAACTAGCCAGATGCTGCTGATTCACAGAACACTAGACATCTCCACCTGAGGTCATTCCATCCCTTCCTCTGCCTTCACACTCCAATCTTCCTCTCCCATAGGCAGGGGTCAGTCACCCTGAACCTCCCCATGACTACTCCCTTGCTAAAACATAGACAAGAAAGGGATGCCCTGTTTCCTTTTGTTCCTTCCCATTCCCTCCTCCCCCTCACCATACTTGTGTTTCCCCTCGTGATGTGACGTGTGGGAAGTCCTCCCTGACTGTTCTCTGACGTTTCCTGCCATTATGAAGTTCAGGGAAAACAGATGATACACTTTGACACTTGTTCAGGAAAGCCAGAAAACTGTGGAGAAAATCCTCTGCAGGAATTTCATCTATGTGTATATGTGACATTGAAGGGATATTTTCCTGTCAAATTCCCTAGAAACAAATCCGCTTGATTCCTTTTTCTTTCTTCCTCTCCTCTGGGCCCAGACTTTCTCCAGTATTCAGATAAAGACCCAGGCCCCATGCTGACTTGAACAATTGAGGCTTCCCTCTTAAAGAGAAATTTTGAGGGTAGAAGGTTTCCAGGTCTTTCCTACTCTGCTACAACCTGGATTTCTCCTGTGCCTGTAAGTCTCCAGGCTTGGCCGGAATGTGTATGAATACCATAAAAGGATTCAGAATAAGAAAAGCAGGGGGCTCTGGGAAGCCAGAATTCAAGGAGGATTTCCCCCAGTCAGTGCTGGGTAGGGAGAGCCAAGGCAAAGGAAGTCACACTGTCTTGACTGGGAAGTCTAGGAAGAGTCTCCCAGCTGTGTGACACAGAGGTAGAAAGGGAGATGAAATGACTTCTGGCCAGGGGGTCAGTTTAGATTTCTCATTACTCTATAAACTGAGTTCTGTCTGTAAGTCAGCTTTTTTTTTTCTGGTTTGAGATACTAAGTCCTTTTCTTCCCTCCAAGGAAACACACAGAAAGCAGGGGATGGGGGAGAGGGAGAGGGAGTGTAGCGTCCATGATCTATGACCAGGACCTGGGTATCCTAAAGCAACATAAGCTGAAGTTTCTAGTTTAACAACAGAACTAGAGCTAGCTGGGGGAAAAGACAAAGACTGTGGGTTACATTTTCCCCCTGTGGTTTCCTCCTTCAGGGAGGCAAAAAAGAGGATAAGCAACCTTTACTCTGGTCCCCAATTGACTTGGAAGTTTTTTCTGTCCCTTTTCTTTTCCTGGGCGGTGAGGGAGGGAAAAGAGCATAATGGACACATAATAAGAACTTAATAAATGTTTGTTAAGTTGAATAGTAACAAATAGAATCCCCCAGCACTCACAAACCTATATGCTCTATCCCAGGTCATGTTGAACTGACTTTCACATATCACAGTGATCGTGTGCCCTATGTGTGTTATTCTATCTCCCTTATGATTCAGTGCAGCTGAGCTGTTGATATGATCAATGTATGGCCTGGATAGAAACAGGAAAAGGGAGGGAGGTTGGCTGGGGGCTGGGGATTGGGGGGTGGTGGTGGTGGACTGAACAGAATGTTTTAGCAGCAGCAGAGGAAACAATTCTGTCTGCAGATGGAGGCTGCAGACAGGACTGGGGGTGGGGTGGGAGGGGACATTGGGGGAAGGGCTCCCCATTTATCAAAAGGTTTTTTTTTAAGTCTTGGGATAAAATCACCATTGTTATCAGACAAATGTATGCAAAGGGAAAACCACCAACTAGGCTTCAAACTCCACCTCTGCCACCCAACTCAGGGCATTTCTCAGCGAAGGGCAACCTTGTCATCGGACAAGGTGTGGTGGAGGATAGATAGACTGCTCCCTCAACTTGCTTTGGGAATACTAAATATGGTTTATGGGGGTGGGGCGGGGGTGGGGAGGTAGAAGCGAGGGGATGTAAAAGGCTGATGTAGAGAATGAGGGAACGTGGAGAGGAGAGCTGGAGTGGTGGGAGGCAAGGGGATCCTACCTCCTTCTCAGAGATGTAGAGCTGGTCCCCTTTCAACACCACGTAGCGGTTTTTCCAGATCTCCCTAAAAATCCCTTTCCCACAGAATTTCCGCACCCAGCCGACCTTTTCAGGCAGTGCGGACTGATGGTTTCCATCCTGGGGCCCCTGCCGCAGGGGGTGGGGGGTTGGGGAAGATAAGAAGCACATTATTAAGTGTTAATTTCTTCTTTCTCCCACTCTCCTCTAGCTGCTTCCCTCCCCGCCTTCTTGATCACCCTAGGGGCTGGAGAGACTGGGGGAAGTCAGTACGATTCTCGCGGGTCCTCACTTTTGGCAGTCAGTCCCCTTCCCCCATCATGACCTCCCTCAGCCTGAGATAAACAGCTGAAACAACCCAGGAGAGGGGATGCAGAGTCTGGGAGCTCAGGCCTTCGGGAGGGAGAGGGTGTGAAAAAGTGGGGACTGGTGACTGTCCTTCTTTCCCCCTTCTCCCGCCCCAGCCCCCATTTTCCTCTTTCCGAAGCGCCTGGGGTTAATGGCATTTTATTCTATTTTCATTGTCTTTTTTTTCCTCTCTCCACCGCAGAGCACGATGCAAACTGCTGCTGGTTTCCCAGTGGAGAGGAGGTGGGGGTAGAGGAGAAGCTGAGGCAAGTACTACCCATCTCTACTAGGCTCCCCCCAGCAAAAAGCACCCCTACATACTGAAGGTTCTTGCTAGCGACTAGGGTGACAGGCTCAGGGATCCGTGGGAGGTAACTGTATCCCATAAATTGAATGAAATGTAAAATGTTCAGATTGGGATGGCAAAGGAGGAGGGGGAAGGGGAGCGGGCGCGGTAGGGGGGAAGGGGACAAGACTCTGTGCTCCCATGGTCCCTGCCCCCCCCCTCAAAACAGGCCGGAACCCCGGAAGGAGATGGAGGGGGTCCTGGTAGGAGAAAGTCAACTGAATTAGAGGAAGCAAAAGACACTCACCCTCTTGGTGGAATTGTTCTTCTTCATCATCCCGGGTGGGCTCGGGCAGAGGGGAGGGGGTGGGGGGCCGGCCCGGGGTCCCGGTGGCGGAGGCCGGTTTGATGTGGCTTGTTCCAAGGGGGAGGGTGTTGGAGATGCCCCCGGCGCCGCCTCCGCCTTCTCCTCCGCCCTCTTCTAGACTCTCCCTGTCTCCCTTCTTTGTAGCTCCGGTTACACTAAGGGCCAGCCTCCCTCGCACTCACACTCTCACACACACGCATGCCTGCCCCCCCTCGGCTCCCTCTATCCAGCCCCCCGCACGCCTCCCATCCCGATCCCAGCGCACGCACAAACACACGCCCGCTCAGGGTCTGGGCTCTCCTCCGACCCGGCTCTCTCTGGGCAACCCAATCCGCTCCAGGCAGCTCCATCCACAGTTGCCCGCCCGGGCCCCGCTGACGTCGTGAGTTCAGAATAAAGGGCGAATCGTAGAGCCCGACCTACTGTGCAGCTTCCCCCTCCCTCCTTTGTTTCTGACTCACCAGGGGTAAAGAAGAGAAGAAGAGAGATCGAGACAGAGAGACACAGAAGAGAACCACAGAGAGGGCCAGAGAGATGGAGAGGAGGCACACAGACAGACACACAGTGAGAGGTGGAGCCAGAGAGACTGCTAGAATCAGCAAGACAGACAGAAACGAGCTCGGGAGGGGAGCCCTAGAAACAGATGGAGAGTCCCAGGGGCAGGGGGCGCAGCAAGAGATCATAGGATCAAGACAGGGTTAAAGAGACACAGAGATTTTTAAGAATTAATATTTTGGAGTTTCTTCTACAAGGCTTGACATTTCTCCATTTTGGACTTTCCCTTCAAACAAGGGAACGTGGTAGGTAGGACAGCTGTAGGAGAAGGGGAGGTGGTAGAGAAAGTGGTCTGAGGAGTTTAGGTATCATGGAAAAGTTTTCTGCTTTTTCTCTTCCAGGGGAAGACTGTGGGTGAGGAAGGGCATCAAAAGGGGGAGGGAGGGACTGAGAGGGAGTAAGTTCTGATTGGGGGAAACCTTGCAGCCAGCCCAATTCTAGGAGAGCCTGTGGTTCTGAACCTATAGCCTCAGTGTCCTCAGCTAGTCTCTAAAGGAGAGAGGACTGGGAGTGAGCCAGTCTTCCTTCTGTTCGTAGGTCCACTCACTAGGTGGCTTTGGACCAGGTGGCTTTTTTTTTTTTTATCCATCTGTACAGTCTGCCCATCGGTAAAATGGAGAGAATAGTGTCTTCTCTACTTTCGGATAAAATGAGATTAGAAATGACAGCTCTTTGAAAGTTAAAATACTGTAGAAGTGAAGGATAATTAACCCTGTTGGGAAAGAAGGGGGAGGGAAGGATCATAGATGGACAGTGTCTGTGCTCATGCATTGTCAGGCTCTAGATTAGAGGAAGGCTACCCCCACCCCCAACCCCCAGTACACTGGATGGACCCTCCTGTGAATGGTTTGTAGGAGGACATGGACCAGAGTTACATGAGAAGACAAGGATAGTTTGAGATGTGCGTGCTGTCACATTAATGAGATCCGTGATCCACCAAATTATTGTTAAGATCCCTACTGGTGGGTGGGAGAGTGTCATATTCCCCCCCCCCCCCCCCCCCCGCCGAGTTCACTTAGGAGTGGGGACAAGGGTTAGGGGATGTCCTACTTAGAAGCTGATAATAAACTTGATGAGTGTTTCCCATTTTTTCCAGTGTTTCTGACATGCCTATAAATTTTGTGACAAAGACCAGGGAGAAGTCTGCCTCTCTACTATCCATATGCCTTCCTACACTGCACATCCCAGCCACGTTAAATAATAATGATGGCAATTCCTTACATTTATATGGCATTTTATGGTAGCCAATAATTATTTTTACTGTATCTGCAGAATAGCTCATAGAGCCGGCTGATATCCCATTTAACAGATTAAGAAATAGGTTGAGAGGTTGTGATTTTTCTAGTCTCTGAATCTGTCTAGTTTCAGTCTCTGAACTAGGGCTAGAACCTCTCCCCCTCCCCCTCTCTCTTTCACACACACATACACACACTCTATATCCTTCTTGCTTTTGCTGCCTTGGTTACCCACAACCTCTGTCTTCTAGCCTACTTGTCAAAACAAGCAAAGAAGAATGAGGAAACTCAGGCTATTTTGATATGACATCAATCAATCAACCAGCAAGTAATTTTATTAAGCACCTGCTGTGTGCCAGGCAATCAAGGAAGGAGAACAAGCATTTATTGACCTACTATGTGTCAGGTGCTTTACAAATATTATCTCATTTGATCCTCACAACAACCTTGGGATGTAGGTGCTATTATTATCCCCATTATACAGTTGAGCAGACAGGTTAAGTGACTTGCCCAGGGTCACATAGCTAATAAGTATCTGATTTCAGGTCTTTCTGAATTTAGGTCCAGGCTCTATCCATTGTTCTACCTAATCAGGATACAAAGACAAAAATAAAAGTCCCTGTCCTCAAGATAATTATGTTCTATGAAGGAAATAACATACACACATGCAAGCAGATACAAAACAATTTGGACGGGCACTACTGCATCTTTTTTCTTTTCTTTTTTTTATTGTGAACTTAAACATTAACAAGCATTTAAATATACTAAGAACAGAAAAGATTACTTATAAAATGGAATTTTTTAATGTTTCTTTCCTTCTTTCCCTCTTCCCTCTCTTTTTGAAAATTAAATAGTATTTTATTTTCAATCTGAACTCTCTTCCTCCTACCTCCCTTTCTCTTCCCCTCCCATTATGAACACAAGAAAAATAAAACTTGTTACAAACATGTATAGTCAAATAAAACAAATTCCTGTATTGGCCACATCCAGGAAAATATGTCTCCATCTATTCTCTGAGTCTATCATCTTTTTATCAGGACATGGCTAGTATGTTTCATCATAAGTCTTCTGGAATTGTAGGTGATTGGGCATTGTGCCGGTTAAAGTTCCCAAGTCTTTCAAAGTTGTTTTCCTTTACAATATTGTTGTTATCGTATAAATTGTTCTTGGTTCTGCTTGCTTCATCCCAAGTCATTTCATGCTAGTCTTCCCAAGTTTCTTTTTTTAAAGATTATTTACATTTTTGTTTATTTTTAAAATTTTTACCCAAGTTTTTATGAAACCATCCATCTTCTTCGTCATTTCTTACAGCGCAATCATATTCCATCACATTCACGTACCACAACTTGTTCAGCCAATTCCCAACTGACGGGCATGCCCTCAGAAAATGAATTTCTATTACATACTATTCCTTATTAAATTCAACATGATAGCTAACAACACAGTCCTACCTGTTTGCATCCCTTTCTGAAATTTTCTCATCTTTTTTTGTGAATTTTTAATGTTTTGTTAATGCTGTTTTCTTTCTTCTTTTTCACTTTTTACTTCTCACAGCCCATCAACTCCTCACCAATTCTCACAGGAGAAGCTCTCCTTTTAAATACATATAGTCAAGTTAAACAAGCTGACACATTGGATATTTCTGAAAATGTATGTCTCATTCACACCTCTAGTTTATCACCTCTTTACCAAGATGTGGGAAGCATGCATGCTTCACCATTAGTCTTCTTAAGTCATAATTGATCTTTGAATATATTGGAGTTCCTAAGACTTTCAAAGTCATTTTCTTTTACGTGATTGTGTTCAGTGTAGAAACTGTATGCTTCTGGATCTGCTCACTTCACTTTGTATCAGTTCATACAAATCTTCCCAGGTTTCACTGAATCCATTAGTATTTGTCATTTCTTCCAGAGCTATACTATTTCATTTCATCCATATTTCATAACTTGCCCAGCCATTCTTTAGTTGATGGATATCCACTTTGTTGACAGTCCTTTACTACAACAAAGTGTCAGCAGAAGCATCTTTATACTGGTAAATTCACAATTGAAAAAAGGAAAGAAAAAAGGCAAAAAGTAAACAATGGTTTGCTTATGTTTATAGAGGACAGGTTGGGGACTACTAAGGCAGGAAATTGTATATGTTATTAGATGTGATTATTGTATTAGTAGTTTTCACTTAGTTGTTTTTCTTTGTTATAGAGAAGAGTTTAATTGAGAGGTTGAGGGGTAAGAAAGAAATGACTAGAGACACAGAAGCAAACTTACTTTTAAAAAAAAGTTAATTAAAATAAAACAGTAGCTTATGTTATTTCCCTGGGGTCTTGCTAGCAAAGAGGTATAGTCAAGCCGAGTCAACAAGCATTTATTTGGTGCTCACTATATACCAGGCAAAGGTATAAAAAAAAGGGGGAAAAAATAGTCCCTGCACTCAAGGAGCTCACGATCTAATTGTAGGAGGAGACAATATGCAAATGACTATGTACAAACAAGATATATATAATATAAATTGCAGATAATCTAAGAGGGAAGGCACTAACGTTAGGGAGGAACCTGGGAAGGCTTCTTGCTGAGATTTTGGTCAAGACTTGAAGGAATCCAGGGAAGGAAGGAGGTGAAGTTAGGAGGGAGAGAATTCCAAGGCATGGGGGATTGAGTCAAAAAATGGAGCATCACCCAAAGTGTATTAATGAGGCCAGAGTTACTGGCACATAAAATATGTGGACAGGAGTAAAGTGGAAGAATATTGGAAAGGTAAGAAGAGATGAGGTTACAAAGGGCTTTAAAAGCCAAAAAGATGATTTTATATTTAATCCCAGAGGCGATAGAGAACCACTGGACTTTATTGAATAGGGGCGTGACATTGGCAAACCTGCACTTAGGAACAGCCTTTGACAGTTAGGTGGAGGATGGAATGGTGTTGGGAAAGATGAGGCTGGGAGACCAACTAGAAGGCAATTGTAATCAGCCAGGTGTGAAGTGATGCGGACCTATACCAGGGCAGTGGCCATGTCAGATGAGAGAAAGGGGCAAATTCGAGATGTTGAAAAAGTAGAATCTACAGAACTTGGCAACAGTTTGTATGTGGAGGGTAAGAAAGAATAAGGGGTCAAGTATGAAACCTAGGTCGTGAGGATGGGTGACTGGAAGGATAATGATACCCTGGACAGTAATAGAGAAATTAGGAAGAAAGGAGGGTGAGGAGGAGAAAGACGAGTTCAGTTCTGGATATGCTGAGTTTAAGATATCTCTGGGATGTCTCGTTCAAGATGTCCACTAGGCAGTCGGGGATGTGAAACAGAAGAAAGGTTAGGGCTGGACAAATAAATCTGAGACTCAGCAGCATAGAGATGATGATTGAAGCCACTGGAGCTGGTGAGATTACCATGTGAAATAGTGTAGAGGAAGAAGAGAAGAGAGTATAGGAGTGATCCAGGGTTG